ATCCATTTTTGTAATTCACTTGCCAACTTTTTACATCTATGAGTAAACAAGAGGAAGTAATCTGTGCTCCTTTATTTCCGCCAGCTCCAAGGAAACAACCGAACGCCTGTTATAAGCCGTTAGCACTGGGAGTCACCTCCCCGGCGGCTGTTGTTTACAGCTCACATTGAGCCTCTGGGTGGAATTCAGAAGCCAGCTTGTTAGCACTACAAATAATTCTGCTATGGCTTAATGCTTTAATTGCAGGGCTTTATTTTTCCACACTTGAGGAATAACGAAAATATAAAAATTGGAAACATCAAATATTTCACACAAGACAAGTCTCAGAGAGCCCTTAACATCGTCTGATCTGTTATATTTATTTTGTGTTCAGTGCCTGCCAGATCCCCTGAATAAGATATTTTGCCAGATGACTTTTTATGTCTTAAATAAAATGAATGTATTGTTTTTATGATTTTTTTTTTATTTAATTAAAAATGTGTTCAATTATTTCCTCCTGTAAATTATACTATCTCTTTTGTTTCAAAATCATTAACATCCTAATATACACAGTATGTATTTTGTAGATTCATATGGAGTTCAAAAGATCAAGAGCTGTATGGATGTGTATTAAAGCAGAAGTGCGGAAATGCATATTTGAATGAAGGTGACAATGGCACTGGACTCTGTGGGGTTGATTTGCTAAAACTGGAGCACTCAGAGTCTGGTGCAACTGTGCATGGTAGCCAATCAGCTTCTAACTTCAGCTTGTTCAATTAAGCTTTGACAATAAAGCCTGCCGATTGGTTACTATGCACAGCTGCACCAGATTTTGCACTCTTCAGTTTTAGTAAATACCCCCCCAAGAATGCACATTAAAGGGACTCTACATGGGTACAAAAAAGTAATTAAACAAAGGCTAGCAATACATTAGTAGATTTTCGAAGAACATTCATACAATTCTCAGTACATTTGATGTCTTGACGAATGCCGTTCAAAAGTTCTTCAAGACTTTGTTTGCTTTTAACATTCAATTTTGGACTTACTAAAAAAATTACATTCACTGGTAGAAATTTTTTCATTCAAGAAAAATATTGCATCCTGCTACTTTGAATTTTCTCATCACTGGGGTTGAAAACAAATGTTGATTTGACCCCACTAACGATTAGAAAATTGAATAAACGTTTTTGAAAGAAAAAATTACATTCTACTAGTGTATGGCCAGCTTAACATGTAAAGTGGCTATACACTGATTAAAATTTGTCTGGGTTAGCAGGAACTGATCGTTTGATTGCCTACTTTCGAAAGAACCATCTTTGCCCCTGCACACATGCATTACATGGGTGGTAAAATGTTAATTTAGTGCCATCCAGATTTGATATGGTTTATATTACAATACTTTAAGTCCCACAGACTGGACATGTGCAGATTGGGCCAGTGATCTCTCCTCCCTCACTGCTGTGTAGTTTAGCCCAGGTCAGTACCTCCATTTGGACCTGAGGCTGGATGCAAGCTTTGCATGAGCCTATGCATTGCACACTGGTCATGACTGCATAGCTCTGTAGGTTTCAAAAATATAAAAAATGTAAGTCACACTCCACAACATAGCTCTTCTTTCTGTGTTTAATAATTGTCAAAAAAAGACCATACAATAATGTCTCCACATATGAAACCAACCTTTTTGCCATGTTTCACCACTGCTGGCTTGCTCACAAAGATAGGGGAAGTCAGCAGTGATGAAACACATCAAGGAAGATGGAGATTGGAGACATGTGGTGGCAGCCAGCCTAGGTTGTCTCTGTCAGATGAAAGGATCAAGTCTTGAGCAGAGACATGGGTTTGGGTATGCTCTGAAGATTTCAATAGAAAAAAGGAATTAAAAGGAAATGATTTTAATACATCAATGTTGGTGCATTTACTACATTCTTGCACAATGTGGATGTAGCCTTTAATAAATAAACATCAGTAATCATGGTATGTTGGGTTCTTGGTCCCTGGTTACTTCTTAGGCCGTGGATATACTCATTTTGCTTTTTTTTTGTTAACCTGCTTAATTAGCTTTCCAATCCATCAGGCAGATTTAATGAGCTACCAGATTGCCTTGAGACTCTACAAACCACAACAGGTGGAGTCAACTGATAGCAGTAAAAGGCTCAATCAGAGTCCTGCAAATCTGCAGATTAGAAGCCTGGCCCATCATTACCATCTTATAGGAGATGACCACAATGATTATAATGAGCCCTATTATTAGAAAATACTCATATGGTAACGCTGCTGTGTCATATCTGATTCTTGACTGATTAAAGTAAACAAGGCCTTGCTTTCCTTAGTGGTTACAGCCTAACGTTACACTAAACGATATCTTTGTTCTGAAAAAATAATCCACACTCATCCACTAATTAAAGTGATATTAAACTCTCAGTTCTGTAAGCACTTTCAGCAGCTGATTCATTCACTTACTATGCAGCTTCTTCATCTTTTAAGCCTTGCCTATGTTCAAGTTTAAGCAGGAGCCATGACTGCTTCCCCAGGTGTCCTGTTTCCGGGTGGCTTCTTTCTCTTGAAGCTTCCTATGGAGTAACCCTTGCATTCAGAGACTACAGTTGTGTCTCTCTGCACTGTGTTCATCAATAGAAAAACACAACCCTGTACCCTAGAATGGCAAGGCACTCCCCTTTTCCTCCCTTCTTCCCCCTTCCCTTCATCAACAGAGTTACTGCAGACTGCATTGTCCCCACTGCTCCCCTCTCCCCCAGGATTATGTGCATATGCAGATGTGCCACAGGGCTTTGGGTCCCGGCAGAGCCAGGCAGCATATTTGCAAGTTTCCCACAAATGCACCTAAAGAGTGGTATGGGAGCCCCTAGATGCCAATCCCCGTACATGAATAAGGGGATAAGGGGAACCATAGCACCCCTACTCATTCACAAAAAAGTAACCTACAAATGAAGACACCCAAATGTCTGACAAGTCCTTTATTATAAGAATAAAACTCCCCCCAAAAAATCTATTGTCAACCATGATGTTTGCTGACTCGCTGAAATGGAAAACCCAAATAGCCCAGCACACGCGACTGATGATGGTACTGCTCATTAAATGACAGCTCCCTTAGCTGTCATCAGTCATATAAGGTAAGGGGTGGGATAGTAGTCAGTGACCAGGCCAGTGTCCCTATTTGCCTATCACCAGACTAAATGTTATTAGTGCTACAAGTGTTGATGCCTCTTTAATATCACAGTCTGTTCCTAATGCTACAGATACAGAATATTCTGCTAGATACCATTACATTGCCATCGTCTATGAATCACAGCTCTGCCAGAGGCAAAACTCATCTAAAATGTATTTCATTTCCACATGGCAACAGTGTGTTTAGGCTGAAATAGAAAACAGAATATCATAAAATGTGTTTAAGGAATTCTTCTCACAGAGCTTAATAACATCAGTGTTTTAGATGGAACTACAATGGAAAATAAGTCGTAGTGTTGGTTATTTTGTTCTACCTTTGGGCAGAATAGAAACAGAAATTTCAATGGCTGCCATTATTTCAAACAAGCAAAAAAAAAATTCACAATATATAGGAACAGTACCTCCAATCATGATTGTGGTCAGAGCACTGTATACACTTCCATTGGAAGAGTGAGTTTTTGGTTAAATAAAAATATATCAAGTCACCAATTTTTGAACCAATTCAATACTGGGCACTTCCAACCTTTTCCTGCCCAGGTCAATTTTCAGATTTCAGTACTGTCGCATTTTGAATGACAATTGCACAGTCATGCAAAACTATACTCACATGAAGTTTACGTCTTTTTATGGTGGTACTTAATGATCACTTGTTTTTTGTTTTTTTTTTTTGCTAAACAAATGAAAAAATATTGAAAAGTTTGAATAAAAAAAGTTTTTCTTATTTTAACGAGGCAGCACTGATAAGCACTGATAAGCTGCATTGACAGAAACTGATGGGCACTGATGAGGAGGCATTGATTAGTTGGCACTGATGGGTACTGATAGATGGCACTGATAAGCTGGTCTTATGGGAACTAATAAGCAGCACTGATGGGCACTGATGGGACCGCACTGATCATCACGGCACTGATGATCAGTGCACTTATTATCTGTGTAATTATGTCCTGTCAGGATTACTGCTTATCGGCTCTCCCTTCCTCACATGGGATCAGCTGTGATTAGACACTGTGACTGGCCCTTTACCTCGATCTGTGATCAGCTGTGTCCAAAGGACACGATGTGTGCCCCGGGAGGTATGCAGGAGGTGTGTTACACAGTTGGTCTGGACCACTGATGTATTTATACATGTTGATCATATCCCCCCTTAATCTCCTGAATAAATTCAGTTCCTCTAATCTTTCCTCATAGCTGAGCTCCTCCATGCCTCTTATCAGTTTGGTTGCCCTTCTCTGTACTTCCTCCAGTTCCCCAATGTTCTTTTTGTGAATTGGTGCCCAAAACTGAATTGCATATTCCAGATGAGGTCTTACTAATGATTTGTACCGGGGTAATATGATATCTCTCTCTCTGGAGTTTATACCTCTTTTACTACAAGAGAGGATTTTGCTCGCTTTAGAAACCACAGCTCGGCATTGCATGCCATTATTAAGCTTGTGATCTACCAGAACTCCCAGATCCTTCTCCACCATTGATTCCCCCAGTTGTACCCCCCCCCACCAGTATGTATGATGCATGCATATTCTTAGCCCCCAAGTGCATAACCTCACATTTATCAACATTAAACTTCATTTGCTACATAGTTGTCCAATTAACTAGCTGCCGACTGCAGATAGCCGAATGACGGCTGCACTGCGGCCGGCCAGTTCTGGGTGGACGTCATATGATGTCCTCCCAGAACGCGCTCTCCTGCGCGCCCCAGGGGGCGCGCACCCGGCGATCTCCGTGATCGCTGTGTCCTACGGACACAGCTGATCACGTGATGTGGTAAAAGGCCAATCACAGCGGCCTTTTACCACGTGATCAGCGGTGTCCAATGACACGCTGATCAGAGGAAAATGCAAGTGCCGGTTCTCGGCTGCACTTTCCTCACGCTGTCAGATCGTGAGGAAAGTACTGCCGAGAACCGGCAGTTGTCAGAGCGGGGATCTGCACCGATCATCAGGGCAATGATGATCAGTGCCCTGATGATCGGTGCCCAGCAGTGCCACCCGCAAGCTCCGCCCACCTGTGCCCAGCAGTGTGCCCACTAGCTCCGCCCACCTGTGCCCAGCAGATCACCCACCTGTGCCCAGCAGTGCACCCACCTGTGCCCAGCAGTGCACCCACCTGTGCCACTCTGCAGTGCCACCCACCTGTTCCCAGAAGTGCCACCCACCTGTGCCCAGCAGTGCCACCCACCTGTGCCCACCCACCTGTGCCCACCCACCAGTGCCACCCCACCCCAGTGCTGCCAGTCAGTGCCGCCAGTCAGTGCCCAGGGGTTGTGCCAGTCAGTGCCGCCAGTCAGTGCCCAGCAGTGATGCCAGTCAGTGCCGTATATCAGTACCCATCATCAGTGTCACCTATCAGTGCCGCCTATCAGTGCTGCATATTAGTGCCGCCTATCCGTGCCACCTCATTAGTACTGCCTATCAGTGCCCTTTAGTGCTGCCTATCAGTGCCCATCAGTGCCGCCTATCAGTGCCCATCAGTGCTGCCTCGTCAACGCACATCAGTGCAGGACAAAAATTACCTGTTTGAAAAATTTTATAATAGAAACAAAGAAACTTTTTTTTTTTTTTTCACATTTTTTGCAATTTTTGTATTTATAGCGCAAAAAGTAAAGCACCCAGTGGCGATTAAATACCACCAAAAGAAAGCTCTATTTGTGAGAAAAAAATGATCAAAATTTCATATGGGTACAATGTTGCATGACCGCGCAATTGTCAATCAAAGTGCAGCAGCGCTGAAAGCTGAAAATTGGCCTGGTAAATAAGGGGGTATAAGTGCCTGGTAGGCAAGTGGTTAAGCAGTGCATTGAGGTCGGCTTGTAAATTGTGGACATCCTGTAAGGATGTTATTCCGCTGCACAGCTCGGTGTCATCTGCAAAGACTGAAATGGGATTTTTAATCCCAGACCCTATATTGTTTATAAATATATTAAAAAGTAAGGGTCCCAACACTGAACCTTGGGGTACACCACTGACAACCCTAGACCATTCAGAGTATGAATCATTAACACTACTCTCTGAATACGATCTTTTAGCCAGTTTTCTATCCATTTACAAACTGATTTTTTCAAGCCTGTAGACTTTACCTTACACATTAGCCGTGTGTGGGGAACTGTGTCAAACGCTTTTGCAAAACCCAAATATATTATATGCACATCCACCCATCTGTCCAAGGTTTTGCTTACGTCCTCATAAAAAGAAATCAGATTTATTTGATAACTTTTGTCTTTCATGAATCCATGTAGTCTATAACTTTAAATATTTTTTTCTAGCAAGAACTCATTATTACATTATTACATTACATTGAGTTTATATAGCGCCAAAGGGTTTGCTCAGCGCTGTACAATAGAGGGGGGGACAATACATGAAACATTACAGCAACTACAAACAGCACACGAGGGGTTATAGGGCCCTACTCTTTCGAGCTTACAATCTAGCTTACTCATCTATGTGGTCTTTTATTAAACTCTCCAGCATCTACCCGGCTATGGAAGTTAAATGAACAGGTCTGTCGTTACTTAGTAAAGACTTTGACCCCTTTTTAAATATAGGCACCATGTTGGCCTTACGCCAATACAGTGGTACTATTCCAGTCATCAAAGAGTTTCTAAATATTAGAAACAACGGCTTTGAAATTAGCTTAATTCTTTTAGGATCCATGGGTGTATGCCATCTGGTCCAGGTGCTTTATTCACCTTTACTCTGTCTAAATATTTCTGGGGTTCTGCCATGCTCCTTTGTATACACAGAGCTGAAGAAGGTATTTCATAAATTTGCCTTCTCTTTTGTCCCCAGTCACCTACTCTGGATAATTTTGTAAAGGGCCTCAGAGAACCGACCTATTTACTAATAATACAGTATATCTGAAAAATTTTTGTTCAACGTTCTTTTTTCAATCTGTCATTCGCTCTGAATCCTTTTGACATATTCTGTTATATTCTTTGTAACATTTAAATGATGATAGTGTGCCTTCATTTTTATATTTTTAAAAGCTGTTTTTCTTATTATTAATAGTTTTTTTTAAACTTTGGACATGAGCCACATAGGTTTTATTTTTAGCCTTTTATACCTATTGTCCATGAAAATATATTTTGCAGTGTGTCCACATACAGTCTTTTTGATGAATTCACATGTCTGTTCTGTGTTGTTCGATGCCAATATTCCCTCCCAATCTAAGTCTTGGAGAGTAGCTCTCATCCTTTGAAAATTTGCTCTTAAAATTAAGTGTTTTTATCTTTTCAGTATGTGTTTGCTGTTTACAGACAACATTAAATGAAATCATGTTATGGTCACTGCTACCCAGATGTTTTAATAAGAATATTAGTTCTCATGGTTTGAAATTACCTGGTCTAGCAGAGCATCATTTCTAGTCGGGCCTATATGAACTGTACCATGGACGCCCTCCCAGAACAAGAGAGCCGCGCTGAAGCCATCTTTCAGCTATGGTGCAGTAATGAGTTGCTTAACTAACTGTAGCCATCTAAAAATGCTATCTAATGCATCCAGACGTACAATTTTTGTGTCATTTTCATTTTAAAGTGGAAGAAAGCTTAACAGTTCTTATAAATATTCCCTTCCCCCTCTTACAACTATGGGAACTCGCTTCTGTTGGTAGAACTTTCAGGTCATAGACACTCACTTTTCTTTTTTTTCTAAAGTGGAACTCCAGTCACGTTTGTAAAAATTTCAATTCAGCAGCTACAAAAATTGTAGCTTCTGACTTTTATTAAACAGCCATTTGCCTGTCCTACGATCCAACCGCTGTGCTCGGCCCATCAGTTTTCAATTTGTCTCTTCTCTTTACTATGGGTACCCAGCTTCACAGCCCGATGGGCAAATGCTCATCCGCGATTGGCGCTGCACACTGTTAATGGTCACACAGTTTTCTGGGACCTGTCACTTGTCCTTTAACCATAGTGACAAAATTCAAAGTAACAAAATTTAAAATTTTTTCTTGAATGAAAAAAAATTTCTAACAGTGCATGTGGTTTTTGTTTTGGGAAATTCTGTTCATTCCAAAACTGAATGCTTTTTAAAATTAATTTAAAACTAAATTGGTCCAGTCACTGAATGCACAAAGAATTTTCATACGAATATTCAAACAAACGGCAGCTTGCAAATCTACTAGTGTACAGCAAGCTTTAGCTGAACTGCTCATAGATCAACTTTAAAAGATCACTTTAGTTCACTTTTACTAAAAAAATAATAAGTGTACCTTTCTTTGAAGGTAAAAAAATTATTATTTATTTTGTTAGGGACCTGTAAAGCATTGCACTCACAATCATCAGATCAAGGGTGTAATGCCACAGTCCTGCAGACTGTCTGTGATCTATCTGCCTGTACCTCCGTACCTCCGATATGGGCAGGCAGGTACACACTGACAGGAAGCTCAATGAACTACCTAGAGTGCTCAACAGCACCGTGGTAGGTAGCCTCCCTGGTGGTCTGATTATGTCAGTATATCAGTGCTCAAAGCGGTAAATTTTTTTGCATGGAAATATGTATTTTTTTTATTGTAGGCCTGTAATTTTTAGGAATAACTCACTGAAATCTGTCCGAACAAGAGTCTAGTAAACATGCTGGGTATGTTAAAATTTGAAAAACAAAATGATAAAATATAATTTAATAATCATAAAAAATAATCATATAATAATAAATCATTTAATTTAATAATATAATCAAACCAAAAACACTGAAATTTGAAATAGAGCGCCAAGTTCGCACATCACTGAGCAAAGTCGCAAAATCGTTTTCAGTGTCTGATGACGAATTTCCCCACGAATCATTATCACTCAATTCTGCAAGTGGTTCTGATTTACTATCACTGTTCTCTAGCTGGTCTAAAACCGCTTTTGACCTAAAGGGACACTTTTTGGACGCCATGGACGTTTCTCATTTTCCAGGCAGAAAGAACCGTAAAAATGCAGGCAGGGCACAGGACAAAGCACTCGGGACAAAATGTATGTGAAATGGTTTGATACAGTAATGTTATACTATGTGATTTTAGTGTATTTAGTGAATGTCACTTTTTAACATTTTTAAATTTCCCGCCATTCCATCCCCATACGTCCTGACGTCGCAGGGAGCGGAACCAAGAAGACGGATGCCGGCATCGGCCGGAGGACATTGCCGGGAACACTGCAGGGGGGACATCATGGGAGCGCAGGACAAGGTAAGTGAAGAAGAGATCCCGGAGCAACGCTGCAGGGTATTCCCGAGTGTAGCTCGGGTTACCGCTTGTGGTGCTGAAACTTTACCCCGAGCTACACTCGGGAATACCGCCAGGCAGGTTAATTGAGAACTACAAGCTCACAGCTGCAAAAGTTTTTATCAGAGCTACTGAAGGTAGGATATCCTCCACTGTCACAACAGGGGTTCGGGGGCTGGTGCCTTTGTAACATGTTACATGTTACAACCTGAATATGGTTGCAACATGTAACATGTTGCAAACGGTGAAATTATCCTTTAGGCCTGGTTCACACCAATGCAGTTTGCATTTGGTCTATTTTTGCAATGCTTTTTGCATTTTGCTTTGCGTTTTTTACACACGTGTTTTTGCTGCTTGTTTACCACATTTTGCATTTTATTTTTTTTTTTAGGGGAAATGTTTTTGTTTCTGGGCAGAATAAAAAAGCAAAATGCAGCAAAAACACACTACACACGTTCTATCGAAATCTATTGTAGCAAAAACACTGCTTTTTGCATTTAAAAGAGTCCCTGATCCTTTCAAAAAATGCAGTTGTTCAAAAAGACATATATGTGAATATATCTCAGAGGAGCAAATGATCAATGGACTGTAGTGCATTTCTGCGAAAAGCACTAAAAAACGCATTGGTGTAAACCAGGCCTTACCCCTAGTTCACATATATGTGACCATGCAATCTGCGTTTTGCAAGGGCAGGAGAGCCCATTCATTTGAATGGACTCCCGTGCCCCGTGACACACAGAGAAGAAGTCCGTGCACTTCTTCTGAAAACACAGCCCGCAAGGGAACCTCGGTTCCCAGTACGGTTGCGTTTTCCAGTGTGGGCGGCGTGCCATTAGAACTAATAGCACCCGCCCGTGGGTCCTCAGTTCTCTGTGCGGGTGGTGCGGCTGCACGGATTTTTGTGCGGATCCGCAGCCGCACCACCCACACATATGTGAACCTACCCTAAAACTCTTGAGGACTCTGGTGGATCTCTACTGCTTCTATTGCCACCTGATTGCCAGATTCACAGATTAGAATGCAGACATGTGAGGAAGACTTTATAAAACAGAGGATCAAAAGACGGGTACTGAAGCTGAAAGATGCTGGCTTCCCCGGAGGTAAGAATCAATCATT